ACTTGAATATTAATTTTCATGAATGTAGGTGTAGCTGTCTCTTATACACATCTTGAACTGGCTGAATTACTTTAGATGTGCAGGACCTCTTTGACGAACTGTCATTTGTAACATTTTGATTTTTTCTTTTTTAGCAGCTCTTTAGTTTCTTAGCTCAGGATTTTGGTTAGTCTCAAAATTTTTTATTAAATTTTTTTTATTTTTAGCAAACTTTACTAACAGTTTATTTATTTCTTTTTTTTAAACAGTTGTGCATACACTTAATTTATGGTAAGAATCTTCAGAATTTTTTTTAAAAAATTTTCTTTATTGAGCATTTTATTAAAATTTCAATTTTATTTATTTCATTTTTAGGCAATGGAACCTTGGATTTGTAGATTTTGGTAAGTATTGGAAGTTCCTTTGGTTTTATTTCTTTAACGAATTTCTTACTAATGTTTTGACTTTACTTTTTTTTTAAATGATCAAGCATCTTGTATTGTATAAATAGAAATAAAATTACTTATTGAAAATTTACACGTCCACAAACAAGCAAATATACTAATAAAAATAACCTACAGTGTATTGCAAAATATCATACAAGAAATCTAGACTAATTACTACTACTATTTATTATCCTACCCGCAACTTACAGTATTTAACAGTCTGAAGAAAATCGCAGAAGAATAAGTGTGACCTCCAAATGAGATGGAAAGGAAGTGACCAGGAGAGTTGCAAAAGGGAGATAAGATGTGAGAATGGCGAACATACAAAAAAGTACAGTAATAATTTTGTTTCCTTATCATTGAGAGGGTCGTACAGAAAGGAGAATCAGAAGTCACATGATTTGACTTGGAAATTTCCTTGCGAATAAATCACAATGATCCAAATCAAAAATTGTGCAGTGAAGGCATTATAATAGTTTTGTTTTTATTATAATTTCAATGTAAAATGTATAATTGTAATATTTTAGTGTATTTTTAATATATAATAAATTGTATTACTTGCAATATATTATAATGATATTTTTGATATATAATAAAAATATAAATATCACATTTTTTTCATAAATTTTGACATATTTTTGATATATAGTAAACATATTTTAAACATATTTTAATCATGTGTTTTTTAACATATGTTCAACATATTGCCGTTATCGAGTTACAACAGAGTTAACAGAAATGTAAACGCAATATGTCAATCATATTTTAAAAATATTTTTACCATATTTTTCAAAATCAATAGGTTTCTGCAAAGTGGCTCATCTTTTAGTGATTGCCGTTGAAAAATTGTATTAACTAAACCAATTGTGGGTTGTAGGCTTTGCTTCAACTCTTTCTTTAATCTTGGTTCCTTTATTGCAGCTTCACATATTGCTTCCATAGTATTACATCCTTCAATTAAATGTTCAAATTCCTGTCCCATTTCTTGACGCATCAATCCTACTGATTGTAAACCCAGATTCAAAATGGACATAATTCTTTCTACAGGATTCTTCCAGGAATGTCCAGGAGGAGTTCTAACTGCTACAAAATAGTCTAAATCTAAAGCTAAAAATAGACATATCCATGAAAGTTGAACTCGAAGAAATCTTAATTGATGGTCACTGCCACCATCTGTATAAACTAACAAGTAGTGATGTCCTTGTTGTGAATTTATAAGAATATCATATAATTCAGCATGACGCATAGGTGTACTTGATTCAAAAATAGGATCTTTTAACCCAATATTAACTTGCCCACGATAAAATGAACCTTCCATATCAGATGGAATATCACATAACATTGTAACACTAGGAATAAGACCAGTTTTCGTAAAATCATGATCTGCTACCACAAAACTTTCCTCTTGAGAAACCAAGACAGATCTACCTCTATCCACTGCAGCCACAGGAAATCCTGGCTCCCCAACTTTACAACGATGTTTATCATCAAGAAATACCAACCAGCTAAAGCCTGAAAGTATAACAGCCAGTTCTTTAAGATATCTAAATAATGCATCTTCATGCTCAATTCGTAGTTGGCGAATTTGCACCATAAATTTTACTTGTAAGCGGCCTGTATATTGGAGGCTTGTATTATTTTGGGGGTTTTTTGGCCAGAATTGAAGATGAATCCATTGTTTATGAGGTATTGGTGTATCATCTGGACAAATTGCAGCTACTTGAATACGTAAATCTTTAACTGAAATTGCTTTTGCTAAATGAACAATTGTATCATGACGTCATTCATCAACAGCTAATAGAGAATCCACTGAGTTTTTTACTGCACCAACTAAAAATTTTTGACAATATTCCCAAAAAACATTATATTTTTCTGGTCGACCAAGGTTTAATTCACGTAAATCAATTACAATGTTTGGATCACCCAAATGTAATGCTCTTACTACACGTGCATCAATCTCTGCTTTATTTTCACAATTAGCTGCAGTGCTATCCTGTGTAAGTGTCTTGTAGATATTTCGAAGGATTGATTTTTTTACTGTATTTGCGCCAAAAAGGGTTTCAGCAGAATTAATAAATGCATATTTTTGTTTCCTGGAAAGATATTGTGGTACCAATTCTTCAAGACCGGAAGTAAGCTTTTGTGATTCATTCATTCTTTCTGATTCTGATACACATATATTAACTTTCCATACCCAAGTAACATTGAATGAATTATTGCCAAAATTGAAAGAATAATGACCAACTTTAAAAGGAAATGCTTTTTCAAAACCATTAAGATAAACATATCGTTTGCTACAAAATTAATTGTATATTAATTTTTATTGAAAATTTCTATTAACTATTTAGTAAATCAATTACTTACGTAGGATTGTCTAAACAATATGGTGATATATCTAATGGAACCCAATCTTCCAATTTTTGTAAAGCATCAACCAATGGTTCATATTTTTTTATAATATCTCCTGAGCGAAATTTATTAGCATTATAAATTGTAGTTGTTCCAGAATCTGCAATAGAGCGGACTGGCTTATCCAAAGCATGATTTTCGTTCATAACCCTTGCCTGATTATCTAAATACAATACGTATGATATTAAAGAATCTAAAAACTCAATAAATGTTTTTTTAAACCAATTAAATGAGGATTTGTTAAACCATTTTGCTTCTTTATAAGTTATTAAATTACTTATATGCCCATTTAATACTTTTTTTTCAAAATCAGGTCTTTTTTTTTTGTATTTTGCTGGATTAGCATGTTCAAAAAAAATACTCGGTGATGTGGGAATGCTATATCCTCGATCTTTAAATTTTTTAACACCACACATATCAATATACCAAATTGCTTCCGTTATATGTTTAATGAATTCACGTCCAAGACTTTCAGCAGTATCCTTTCCAACCCATCCTGCATTATTTTCTTGAAGATAATTAACAAAATTAAATTTCATACACTCTTTTTCATTACCATTCTCCTTCATATTTGGTAAATAAAGCTGACTTGATTCTTGTAACAAAATATTAAAAGCATTTTTTCCAGCTGACGGTTGTATAGTAGGTATATCTTGCAACCGTAGTTCAATACATTCACCAAAACTCTTGGTAGCATCAGCAATTGGACAATTTAAAGCTACTCCATTAGAGATGTCACGAATATTGTCTCCCAAAAAAACTTTAACTTCCAACTCTTGATTTTCTTCAGATAAAACGCCTAAAGGTAAATCATTGTAGAATTGTTCAATTGTACGTTTATCTGTAACACTAAATGGATGGATCATCCATCCATATATTTGTTTTTGACCTTTTTTTATAGAAATGTTGATTACGCCCATTTTTTAAAAAAAACTGCGGAACTTGCGGAACCTGTGAAAACTGCAGTTTTTTATATATTTTTGGACCGTTAATACCACGTTCATCTATGTATTAAAATGGAATGATCATAGAACATCTGATATCTTTTATAAGTATTTTGTACGCCCATTTTTATTGACAAAAAATTATTAATAACATGTTTTGGACCAATAAAATTGCATAAAAAAAACTATAAATTATAAAAAAAACCAACCTCCCGGGTCAAGTCATTTGATTTAAAAAATGAGAAACATAAAATTTAATTTGTCCGGCCAAATATAGTGAATTTTATTAAATACTGCATTTTACAATGATTGTTTTATTACAAAAATATAAATTTTTATTATTTGCGTTTTTATTAGTCATTTCTATTACAATGTATTATTACAATGAAAATTGCTGTTACAATTATTACAATAATTAAATAAAATTTGATTTATTATATAAAATAATAAGCTTCGTTGAATATTATCTAATAATTCGATAAAACGTCTTTAATTAATTTTTTCGCCTAATCTCCTACTTTAGCCACCAATTTATTAATACTTTTATTACAATTCAAAGTTATTCCGAAACTATTTATTGACGATAAGTTGACAAAATTTTTACGAATCATAAAAATTTCGCAAAGATAACATGCCGTCACGTGATTGATGTGAATTTAGATCGATCTTGTGATGGCTAGGTCGCAAATCATCAAGTTTCTGCAAAGTTTCCACTGTGAAAATCTTTATGAAAATATCCTAATTCATGTAACGTTTTAAGGCCATGTGTTATCCAATGTAAATAAAGTAATTTATCTTTCCACAAAGTATTATTGAAATTGTGTAAAAGAATGCTTCTCAAATTTCCTTTATCTGCATATTCTGAAATTATTATAAGTTCTTCAGTTTCTGGATCTTTAGTCATTCCATAAAAACTTAGACATCCATCGTTTATTTGACATAAATCCCAAAGTATTTTAATCTATTATTTGTATTTAAATTAATGGAAAAAATTTTTCAATTATTATTAAAGAGGTTAATTAAAATATGTAAAATTAATACAAAACTTACCTCATTTAAATATTCAGCTGACATATTCTCTGATCCATTTAACCTTTTCAATGCAACTTTGGTAGATTCAGATTTACGGGTTTTCCATCCTTTATTGTATATTATTTTTGGACCATCAATCCACTTCACCAATTTGGTTTATATCTTTAAATTTATCAAATCTTTGCAGAAACTTATAAATTTAAGAAATATGACAACAACATTTTTAAAATATATTGAACATATGATATTTGCATTTCTGTTATCTCTCTTTTAACTATATGCTTACAATATGACAACAATATGACTTAGTTTATATAGCAATCATATAACAAAAATATGACAACAATATGACTTAGTTTATATAGCAATCATATAACGAAAATATGACAACAATATGACTTAGTTTATATAGCAATCATATAACGAAAATATGACAACAATATGATTTAGTTTATATAGCAATCATATAACGAAAATGTGACAACAATATGATTTAGTTTATATAGCAATCATATAACGCAAATGTGACAACAATATGTCTTGGTTTATATAGCAATCATATAACGAAAATGTGACAACAATATATAAAATAATGTAATAGTAATATAAATAACTATAATACGTTGAAAATATCTCAAAATCTCAAAATGATTCATTTTTTCAAAAAAAAAAACAAGATCACTTGATTTTACCGTAATTTTCGGTAAATAAAGACCAAGAATAAATTACTCTTGACCAAATTTCTTGGGTATGGAATTAAAAATGTCGTTAAAAGCTTGTAAACCGTCAATCAATCGGCAACTTCAGTTTTTGATGAATAACTGAATAAAGTAATATAATAAAATATGTTTATGTTAGTAATATAATAACGCCATAAATAAACTATATTTCTACCTATACTGCATTATAATAATATCTGTTTAAAATATAACTTCGATTTTCTTCATCATGCTCAGTATTACATGTATTCCCACAATTGTGTATAAAGAATACACATGGATTGCGATCAATAAACGTAATTGGAAAAATTTGAAACCACCGTGATTCTTCAGGTTTCTGAATATTATAAAATGGGCATTCTAATACAGAATCCATAATGTTTGTTGCCTGAAACCAATCAAAGAAAAAAAATGCATAGTATTGGCCGTTGTTTGCTTGATACCGAAAAATTGATTTCACTTTGGCATATGCGATACCTTCGGATTCTTCAGGTAGCTCCACAATATCACCAATATGAATTTTCAATCGGATAGGGTCTTGACCATCTTTAAGGAAGGTATAGGAAATAGAATTATAAAATTCTAACTTCCTATTTAGTATTGCTTCTTTTGAATTGAAGTGTTCCCTATATGATACAGAAATATCTTGAAAAAATGGATGCTTATAATCCAACTTCTTTGATAGTCCTCTGTCATTAACTTTTTTGGCACTCCATCGACTATTTAATGAAATATCAATAAAATTGCTATTATGGCAGCATATGGTAATATTATCGTCTGTAAATAATATTAAATTAGCATGTATAAAATGTACTTCATTACTTCCAATAATGGCTAATAAAATTTACTTAGTTACCATCCTGTTTGTCTTCGAATTCTTGACTATTTATAGTATTAAAATTTTCTGTAGCATACCAAGCAGTTAATATCGTGTAAATATTTGGATCTGCAATAAGTTTAGGTAATGCATTTGGTCTTGTATTAAAACGAGGATCTGTCCAACCATCAATGAGATGCCGTAATACCTGAATTGTATTATACCGTCGTGTAAGGTCAAGTTCGATTTCTTTACAGTTCATATGTGGTACCATTGTTTTAAATATACGATGTACCATCTCTTTTACACCAACAGCAGTATTTACGAGTGTTGCAAAATTACGAGCATGCTGTAAAAGGTGCATATTTACATGCAAATTAGGCAGATTGGTGAAGGTATCTGGGAATATCTAAGAACAAATAATGAGTTTGTTATATTAGTGGTATATTCAATAACATTTAATGAAACCATTTGGTTGCATATATAATACTTACTTGTATTAGTATCTCTCGTTCTTTTTTTAGTGTTTCTTGCAATTCTTGATAAGTATTTTCCGTCATAGTGGTTGAAAATGCAAGTTTTAGTGCTTTTGCTTCAATAGCCCAACATGCACATAATTTTGATGCAACTAAATTTCGTCTTATTCCAGAATTTTTATGCCAGTTATTCAAAGCATCTGTCTTTATATGACAAGATTCTAAAAAGCGCTGGAGTATAAACGGCATTAGCATTGCAAGACTTAACACATCGGAAAACATGAAACTTTGACGATGTCGCAATGGATTAGGCATTCTACTCCAGTGGGAGGGTTTTTCAATACGTTTCCAATACTCTAAAAAATCATTTTCACCATTTGTATTAAAAATGTTAAATGTTACTTCTAATAGAGTACGTGCCTTTCCAGCCATAGAATGGTACGCATCTTGTGGTGTTTGGAGGTGTTGATTCCATTTCAAATCATTGAGAGGACCTGGTTTTATTAATCCATATTTGGTAGCTAGTCGATCCTGATCCATTCTTAAATGTTGACTTTCAATCTCTGCAATTCGTTCATTTGTTTGCTGTTGAAAACGAGCATTCTTAATGTAATTATAGTTTGGATCAGTATATTGGTCATTTGAAACATTACATGTTCGACACCCATGATTAGCTCCATGTCGTTTTACAGCTGCTAAATCATTGCCTTGTGGCAAGTCAGCAGTAACACATCCAATACCACCTATTACCCATGCATCACCATATAAAGTTTGCATTACACGACCATTTTCTAAGGACTTTATGTCTTGAACTATGGGTTTTATAAAATCGTTAAAATTTGCTCCAAATGGAACAAATCCTATTAAAAAATGATTCTTTAATTGTTTTCGAAGAGTTGATGGCATGTTTCCAATTTGTAAGTAAACACCACCTAAGGAATGGTACACATTTCTGTAAGTACCAAAATCATCAACATATATATCAAGAAATACCTTTAAGATGGGCAGGTTCTGTTGTGACTGCATAATTGTAATATTTTCATAAGGTAATCGATGTCTTGATGCTATATCACGATATTTCCACCTGCTATCAAAACTATATACAATTTCTTTAATATAAAAATCGTATTCATCAGGTTCTGGCATGTCACATAACCAAACAACGATGTGTTGTACTACATTTGATGGGTTTACCAATTTTGCTTCTCCTTCAACTAACCATAACTCCATATTGTTTCCACGAGTGTGTTGATTATCATTAGCTAGGACGACAATTAGGAAGCTTTTCATGTTTAAGTAGCATATCAACCTTTAGTTTAAGTGTATTATTATCCATTTCATTATTCACTACACTACGTACTCGACACATAAATGTGGATGATTGCTCACGAAATATTAAAAATTCGCCTGCTTTATAAAATTCTAGATAAAAAATTATGTTATTTATCTGATTAATCTTACTACTATAAAGAATGAAAATATTACAAACCTTCATTTGTAGTTCTAATCTTGTTTTCTCCAAATAATAATAAATCCTGCCAGAGTTCACCATGCCAGAATTCTCGTTTTTCATTTGCAACTATTCAGGGACCAAAATACATCTTTGGCATGATTAATAGATTTTTTAAAATACGCTCCAGATGCGTAAGTGGAGAAATTGTAAATGCTTTTTTTGTAGATGCATATGTGGATGGTGTCCGCTGCATGCTGAGAGGTACATCATGTTTGCGAACTTTGACTAGAGGTAGCCTATCTCTCCATTTTCGTATCTGACGAATATTTTTAGTGATATCCTCCTTTCGATACTCAGGATGTGTGAGAATCTTGGCAAGATCCTCATACGCAGATGTTGCTACATAAAATCAGTAAGTTTATACCAATATACATAATAAAGCATTCAGTCAATATTACTTACAAATCATATGTTTAGTAATCCAAATAAAAATCATTGTTGATGTAAAATTTGGAAAATATGGACCGTATTCACTATCAAAACCTTCGAAATTAGAAGATTCTTCTTCCAGCACATCACTATTATTCATTGAATCATCTTCTTCATCTTCTTCTACAATATCAAGTAATGACCTATGTGAATCATCAATATTTTTCATTAAAATTTCTTCTGTAGTATCAGTAGCCAGTGTCAATGTCTGAAGGTTGGTAGTTATCATTAATGTCCATATTATGTTCAGGAAGCTGCTGCTTGAACTCCTTGAAATAATTTATAAAAAATTGTATGTTAAATACTCATATTTAATATTTCTTTCATGAAGTACATAGCACTATAATCTCAGAACATATATACTAACCTCATTTGTCATTTCTGATGAGCTTTCAGCCTCACCAGTGTTTCCTCTGAAATTGGAAATATATTCTGTATAATTGTATTCTGGAATGTCATCTGTATTGTCATGTCCTGAAATGTTATCAGATATAAAAGATTCGTCTTCTTCAGTAGCTCTTAGTTTTCTAGTAGCTCTAACACGTAGTTTTGGTGTTGGTACATATAGACGACTATTTTTTGAACGTTTCATTTTAGAATTTTTTTTTTTCAAATTGCAGAGATATTCTTATTATTATTTTTGTTTATAAAAGAAACATGAAGAATTTTTTTTTATATTTTATATGATATTAACAATCAATATATAAGAACAATAAAAGTATAAAACTAAAAATTCAAAAAAAGCAATGACTGACAAAAGAGTATTAAATAGTTTAAAATAAACTATACTATATAATAAACTATACAAAAGTGTAAACATAAGTATTAAATAAAAATAAACTATAAAAGTATAAAATAAACTATATGAAAGTATTAAATAAACTATACAAAAGTATTCTCAAAATAATATAAAATAACTATTTAAAATGATCAAATAGACTATGAAATTATAAAGTTTATAAAAAATTTACTAAGTTTAAAAAAAAAGAATTAATTATTTGCTTGCGTAATTAATTAAAAAAAAAAAGAATTAATTATTTGCTTACATAATCAATCAATTATTTGCTTGTGTAATCATTTAATTTTAAAAAAAAAATAATAATTATTTGCTTGCGTAATCATTTTATTTAGATATATATAAACCATATTTCTTATCATACTTAAAGCCACTTTGATTATAAAAACATTTGCAATAATATAATATATTCGTTTGATATTACATTAATACACTTAATAATTTTTTAATAAACATAGTCAATTTTTCAAATTAAATATTTGATAATATTTCAATACTATGCCTCCGAAAAAAAAATTTGGTAAGCAATAAATTAATACAGTATTATCTTTATTTACTATATTTGCATTAACAAACATTTATTAGTCTTAGTGGTACCTAAAGAGTTAGAAACTCCCTCTAATAATTATGATGACTCAAACAAACTTAGCACAAGAGGTCCCACCAAACGTGGTCGAAAAAAGAAGGCGCCTGGTAACTCTGCCAGAACAAAGACATCTAATCATCAGCAAAATAATAAAAATAACGAAATTCCTTCTGATGATGATCCAGAAATAACAGAAATAGATATACCTGCTGTAAAAAAGATAAAAAAGTCAAATCAAAATAAACAGCAAATTGATATTACTAGTACTAATATTAGAGATTCTGAATCAGTAGAAACAGCTAGTTCAGATGACATATCTACCAACTTATCTTGTGTTAATCAAAATGAGCAGCAAGCAGATATTAATAGTACTAATACTGTTATATCGAACCAAAAGCAGTTCAATATTGATAAAAATAATATGAAAAGCAGTGATGAAAATTTCTCTGTAACAGGCCAAACATGCAGTGACAATGAAGATGAGACAAATATACCATTAAGTGGACAGCAGCCAAAATTTCCATCGCAATTTCATAATATGACTAACGAATTTGAAATCGCCTTGTGGTTGGCTTATCATCAAAGAATTTTAAACTTGGCTATAAGCATCCGAAATGGAATGTCAACTAAAGTTAATGAAGAAGAATGTGAAACGTCTTTAACATCAAATTTATCTCATGAAGCTGTATTACAATCAGGATCGTCACTTCCAGAAATTGATCAGGTGAAATTTCATTATATCTAATTACAAAATTAATTATTACTATACTCATATTTATTTCAATTTTTAGTATATTAAGTTCCAGTTACAGGAAGAGTGCAAGGCACTTTTTCTTCGTACAAGGAACAATACAGTAGCACTATATGAGGAACTTGTTGTACGTGTCTGTAAAATTAACAAAACTGATCCAAGGTTAGGAACCTTGGTTAAAGATGTAGGTTCATGGTTTAATACATATCGCTACAAATTCCATGTTGCCATTGTAAAACTTGCAAATGAATTTAAAACAACACATAAAAGGTTAGTACTTACAATATTATTTAACTTTTTAAAATCAAATTAATTAATAATTAATATTAATAAATAGGGCAGTAGAACCATATAATGAATTAGATGAATTTATCACTGAGGATGTATGGCGACAATTATTTCAGATGCATTTAAGAGAGACAGATCAACAAAAACTAAAAAAAGATTCTGAAATTATTACAAATCTTGGTATTTTTGTACGTCATGTTGTTAAAGCCATACTTATTGCCCAGAGAGATAAAGAAGATACGCAGGCTGTAGTTAAAAAATGTGATGAAAACACCATTGACCTGCCAATACCAACCAAGCTTGGAATCGTAAAGGTGCTACCAGTGCGAGATCTATTAGACTATTAGAATAATGAAATTTAATGATTAAATGCATAACAAAGATTGTGGTAATATTTTTAAATTGTTGTAAACATATATCTACAAGATTTATTATTTTATTTTGCTTCATTTGCATAATTTTATTAAATTATTGCTTGTAAATATTAAAATATTTTTATTATATATCAAAAAATAAAAATTGGTGTGTAATCGTTACGTTTAGATTAACCTGTATAAATTGCTGATCTGTATTCTTTATAGCTAAGACCCCTTTGATCAGCAAGTCATATTGTTATATCTAATCCAATTCCGGTTAATGAAATTTTAATCGGATTATTAGTATTTTTTTTTCATTTTTTTTTTTCCTTGAATCGATCCTTTGCTTTCGGTTCTTTCTCTTTTTTTAAGTTTCCTCTTTTCTCTTCCAAACCTTTTTCCTTTTCTTTTCCTTTTCTTTTCCCTTTTTTTTAAAAAACCTTCATTTTTTTTTCCTCTTTTTCGGTTTGGTTTTTTTTTCCAATCTGAGAATTTTATTGGTTGTTTTTCCCAAACTGAAAAATTTTTTTTTATTGGTCTTTTAAGACCGATTTTTTTTATATTATTATTTTTTTCAGTCTTTTTTTTAGACCGTATTATTAATTTATTTTTTAAAATTTTTTTTTCAGTCTTTTTAGACCAGATTATTCTTTTTTTTTTCGGAATTTTTTTCAGTACTTATTTTTTTTACGGATTCCCTTTTTTCTTTCCTTATCCTTTTTCTTTTCCCCTAAATTTTATTTTTCGCTTTTTTTTCAATTTTCTTCATTGTTATTTTTTTTTTCCCAAACCACATTCTTAAACCATTTAGATTTGGTTCGGTGATCGGATTGACGCTGTGGTACTACGGTAATTGCCTTTTTTCCCGATTCTTCTTATTATTATTAGTAATAATATTTTCCCTAATTATTTTATAAATAGACTGACATATAATTTACTTATTTATTTTTTGTAACAATAGATCGGTTTAGTAAATTCTATGGGAATTTTTTTTTTCATAGCAATAGATTGTTATAATTGATTTTTGGGGGATTGTGAGATATTTTTTTGGAAGGATTGCTAACCGTCGCCTGGGCGATCACCGCCTGGTTTTTTTTCAAATATGTCACATGATGTACAAATTTATTAGTCAGCTGATGGCTGATTTTTTAACTTAGTTATTTTGATCGGTTAAACTTAAAATTTTATTGCAAAGATATTTTTTTAAAAAAAAATTTTTGCATATTAATTTAAAATAATCTTATTTAATGAAATTTTATTTGCAAATATTAAAATTTAAGCCACACATTTACGATTTTAAAGAAAAAAATCACCATATTTAAACAATAACAATAAATAAAAGATAAATAAATTACAATGACCAAGGAGAAAGATGATGAAATAACAATGGAGTAATGGAAAGTAATAGAAGATGAAAAAAAGAGTAATAAGAAGTGATAGGAAACAAAAAGGAGAAATAAGACATGATGAGCGATGAAAAGTAGTGATGGGAGACAAAAGGAAGTGATGGGAGACGAAGAGGAGTGATGGGAGACTAAAAGAAGTGATGGGAGACGAAGAGAAGTGATGGGAGATGAAAGGGAGTGATGAGAGACATAAAGAAGTGATGAGAAGATGAAGAGGAGTGATGAGAGACGAAAAGGAGCGATAGGAGACATAAAGA